GACACTATCCTCCTCTTCCCATAGGCCTTTGCATTTGTGCAGTGTCCCTCTGAAACAGGGCACCCGTCCGTGCAAAACAGTCAACGTGCCATCTATCTGAGGGGCACGAGTGCCGGCCCGGGGTCAACGGGATGCAGTGCTGGGTGAGAGTCTGCACAGGCGGATATCTTTTGCCTTGCCGGAGTTGAGAGTTTGCGGAGGCACAGCAAAAAAACAAACGGTATTATCGGGGCTCTTTTTGTAGCAGGAACTCCTTTGCGTTTTAGGCGACACACCCCTAATGTAGCCATGATTGCAGTCTTTAAGTATCTGAAGGGCTGTCATGTAGAAGAAGGAGCAGATCTATTCTCTCTTGCTCCGGATTGCAAGACTAGATCGAATGGGTGGAAAGGACAAGGGAGTCACTACCGGCTAAATATCGGGAGAAACTTCCTAACTGTAAGAGGGGTTGAGCAGTGGGACAGTCTGCCTCGGGAGGTGGTGGATGCTCCTTCGCTGGACGTTTCCAAGCGGAGGCTGGACGACCCTCTTTCGGGTATGTTGTAGCGCTATCTTCCGGCTATTTCCGGCAGAGTGCAGGGGGTTGGACTAGATGACCTGCAAGGTCCCTTCCAACTCTAACATTCTATGATTCAATCCTCCAAGAGTTTACAGAGCCCTTCTTACAGGGGCCACTGTAAGCTCTTGGAAGATTGGCTACATTAGAGGGGGTGTCGCCTGATATTTATTTATTTATTTTATTTTATTTCATTTATACCCCACCCTCCCCGCATGCAGCCTCGATATGCAAAGGAGCCCTGGGTATTATGATAAACTGGCTTTTCACCATCTCGGGTGGAAACGGGAGGGCGGCAGAGCCAGGGTCCACGCTCTCATGCCCTCCAGGTAACATTCTCCAAAAGGGGAAGGCGTTGGAAAGTCCAGCCTGTTGCGTGTGCCTCACCAGACCCAGGCCAGGCCGGCAAAACCGCCTGCGTCGCACCAGCCCCGCCGGTCTCGGGTTGCTTGCGTGTCAGCCAGTGCTCAGAACCTGTTGGCTTGGCCAGCAGAGTCCCCTAATGAATCCCAGACGCTTCCGAGCCGGTCTCCCCTTTCTCGTCTTCTGCAGCGGGAGCAGGAAGCAGCGGGGATGGCTGCCAAGGTTGACAATGAGCTAGGAGAGGGGGCCAGGAAAAACGAGGAAGGCTGGCCCCCTTTCACCCACGGCTGACCCCAAAGCTTTATGGACGAGGGCTGAAAGAACAGAGGGAGAGCCTGCTTTTGGGGGGGGGGAACATTGGCCTCGGGACACTGGAGAGGCTTGGGGGGCGTCCGGCTCCCTCTCCTCCTGCCCCCAAACAGGCTCCAAAAGCGTCCCTCCCAGGCAAGTCGGGAGCCGCCAGCGGGACGTGGCCAACCTCTCTCTTTCCCGCCACCTTCCCTTCCATTAGCTCAGCGAGTCTCCCCTGCTGGGTAATTAATGGCCTCGACTTGGTTTTTAATTTCTTTCCCCGCATCTGATTGGCTCGGCTTGCCTCTTTCTCGGGGAGGGGGGGCAGACACACCGGGCCTCCTGCGGTAGCTGATTGCGTGTGTGTGCCGAACACCCCCAGCCCGATGACGCTTTCCCATCTGTGACTAGTGAGAAAGCAACGGGGTGGGGGTGGGAAGGGGGGGGTGCTTCAGGACTCCTAGTCCCTTCTATCCCCAACATCTGCAAGAACAGAAGGTAAAGGTAAAGGTTCCCTTGCTCGAAAGCCAGTCGAATCCGACTCTAGGGTTGCAATGCTCATCTCCGTTTCCAAGCCAAAGAGCCAGCGCTGTCCGAAGACGTTTCCGTGGTCATGTGGCCGGCATGAGGCTCACGGAACGCTGTTCCCTTCCCACTGAAGTGGTACCTATTTATCTACTTGCAATGTCTTACTTTCGAACTGCTAGGTTGGCAGGAGCGGGAACTAGAGACGGGAGCTCACTCCGTCATGTCGTAAAAAATGCTTGGTGGGTCCCAAGAAAAAGAAAAAGAAGAGAAGAGATTGGATTTATACCCCGCCCTTCACTACCCAAAGGTGTCTCAGAGTGGCTGACAAACTCCTCTCCCCTCCCCTCCCCACGACAGACACCCTGTGAGGTAGGCGGGGCTGAGAGAGCTCCCTCAAGGACTGCCCTTGAGAGAACAGCTCGGAGAAAACTTGTGACTGACCCAAGGTCACACCGGCAGCTGCATGGGCAGGAGTGGGGAAATCAAACCGGGGTCTCCCAGATAAGAGTCTGTGCACTTAACCACTACACAAAACTGGCTCTCAGGAGGAGGAGATTGGATTTATACCCCGCCCTTCACTACCCAAAGGAGTCTCAGGGCGCCTTACCATCTCCTTTCCCTTCCCCACAACAGAAACCCTGTGAGGCAGGTGGGGCTGAGAGAGCTCTGACAGAAACTGCTCTTTTTCAAGGACAGCTCTTATCAGAACTACGGCTTGCCCAAGGTCACCCAGCAGGTGCAAGTGGAGGAGTGGGGAATCAAACCCGGTTCTCCCGGATTAGAGTCCGTGCACTTAACCCCGACACCAAACTACACAACACCAAAGGTGTTGGCGGATATAATGGGTGCCACATTGGAGAACCCTGGGTTAGAGCGCTGGGTCAGACGAGCATCTGGGTGACCCGGATTTGAAATCCCTGCTCCGCCACAAAAGCTTTTTTGGGCGACCTCGTGCCGGTCACTCACTAGACAAGACGGCATCCTGGAGTCTGCCGCTTTGTCGCAGTGAATTTCCATGCGGGAACTCCCTCTTAAGAGCACGCTGTGGGCCCAGTTCTGGTCGAGACCACCACGATGCAGAGAGAGGAGGGGGGACCCTCCCTTCCCTTGGAGCTATTTTTCTGAACCCAAAAAGGGCCACGGAGGATCATGGCACCGTTTCAGGTCAGAAAACCTGGGTGGGGGAGAGACGGGAGCCCCTCCCTCCCCCGTTGGCGCTGCAGAGACCCCAACCGAAATCAGGCCCCCCTGCAGTGATGTTAAAAGGAGTTCCCAGGTGGAAAATCGCTGCTAAAAAATGGCAGCCTGTCCCCAGGGGTTGAATAGGGAGCACTGTGTTATCTAGGGTTGTCAGGTCCCTTCGGACAACCAGCAGGGGACTGGGGGGGGGGACTTACCGGGAGTGGGAGGGAGCTGACGCTGCAGTGACATGTCTACGTCACTTCTGACATTACCCAGAAGTGACGTCATCACGCAGTGACGTCAGGGTGACAGTCTGGTATTTGGACAAAAGCTCTATGGTAAATTTGACTTCTACCATAGAGTTTTCCCCCCAAATACCAGAGTGTTGCCCCGGTGTCACCAGCATGATGAAATCACTTCCACGTCATGTCGGAAGTGACGTCAACACGTCATTGCAACGTCAACTGGGCCTCGCTCTTCTTCCGGGTAAATCTCCCCACCGGACAGCTGATTGGTGGCAGGGCAGTAGGGCCTGGCCGTGGGGGACCCTCACCTCCACGGGGGTGGGGGCGGTCTGGAAACCCTGGTCTCATCTAGTCTGGCACTCCATCCAACCTCACAGGGCTGTTGTGCGGACAAAACCGAGGACGGGAGGACAATGTAAGCCGCTTTGGGTTTCTCTTAGAGAGAAAGGCAAGGGTATAAATTGAGTGAAATAAAAACAAATAAATAAAATCCCTACTATCGATCAGGAATGTCACCTTCTCAGCCCTTTGCAGTGAACCCTGGTTTCTGAAGAAGGCCTAGCCTTCCAAACGTAAAGATGGGTTCCCAGGTTTCTACTCACAACGTCCCTGTGCCGAGTTTAACACACATAATGTTGTATCAGTGGCAAATGTGGAGGCCTCCGGTCCCGCAAGGAGGCCTGTATTCCGATCTCACTTCTGCTCACCTTTAGTCATCTCTTGCCTGGGCCAAGACTGGTCATTGGCGGGGTGAGGAGAGTATTTTGATTTCTAATGACCCCCTCTCTCACAAACTGGAAAGGGATTGAGCGACACAGGTGGCCATTACAGAGAATACCTGTACAAATTTTGCATTGGAAAGGGGACGTTTGAATAGTAAGACAATCGCCTGCGGAAGGGTTCCATTCTCTTGCAAAAGTTAGTGAGTTTGGATGATGGTTGAATGAACGGGGAAATGGTGTGAGAAAGAGCTGATGGTGGGGGGTTAGTGGTCCTTCGAGATGGCCGCTAGTTTTGAGAAGGGATAGGTGGGAGACCTGACAGGCGACACACGACTCCTCCACCTCCCGTGTGAAATAAGTGCCGTGTTTCACTTCCCCTTTGACACTCGAGGAAGCACTTCTATCCCACTGAAGCAGGTGAACTTTCACACACTGAAGCCATATTTACAGGCCTCTCCTTGGTCGGTAGCCATCTTTGGACGGCAAGGGCCTCAGGCCTGAACCGCAGTAGGCCAGTTACCGTGGTAACACACATGGCCTTGCACTTCTTACTTCCAACCTGTGTCAGATAACTGAGACGTATCCGGTAGACGTCTGGATTAAATGCTGGAACTTGACAAAATCCTCCCCACTCCTGTGTAGACGCTGCATGTTAGACCTGAACAAGCCCAACGCAAATGCCCATAAATGGGTGATCCAAGATGGCCGCCCTTGACAAAGATCTCAAGACGCTGACATCTGAACAGGAATCTGAGGGCCGGCCAAAGCCAATTTTCCTGCTAACCTGGTAGCCAAGGTTGCCAACCTCCAGGTGGGAGCTGGAGTTCTCCTGGGATTACGAGTGACCTCCGGACTACAGAGATCAGTCAGTCCTGCCGGAGAAAATGGCCGCTTTGGAAAGTGGCCTCTATGGCATAGCTTCCATACGGAGTTCCTTCCCCTCACTAAACCCCCGTCCCCAGACTCTGCCTGTAAATCTCCAGGAATTTCCCAACCCGGAGCTGGCAACCCTGCTTATAGTCCCGATGACCGGGTGCATCACTTTCGGAGTGGGAGTAAGCGGTCACGGAAGGAAGGTGCATCGGGGAAGGAAGGAGGGAAGACAGTACTGACCATATGCGGAGTCCCTGGTGCCGTCGTGGTTCCCGGTTGCCGTGACCACATCTAAAGAGGAGAGGAGGAGAAACACAGGGTGGGAAATCAGTTGGAGGTAGCGGAGGGGGGGGGGCTGGGAAGCCAGCAATTGGCAGCAGAGTTTGGGGGTGGCAGGGAAAGGGACGGGGAGCCCATGGGGCGGTGGGGATTCCTTCCACCAGAGCGTCAGGAGGGAGTCCGGAAACGACAGTACAAAATCATAAGAGCATAAGAACGTCAGAGACGCCATGTTGGATCGGGCCAATGGCCCACCCAGTCCGACACTCTGTGTCACACAGTGTGGCCCAAAGCCCGGGGGCCATCAGGAGGTCCACCAGCGGGGCCAGAACTCCAGAAGCCCACCAGCAATCAGCAATCCCACCCAGTGCTCTTTGGTGGCCTCCCCCCGAAATGGATTTATTCAGGGGTCATGTCCTGCAGGAGCGCACAGGAGCGGTGCTCCGGCAGTAAAGAGCCCAGGGGGCGGGCACATGCAACAAGCCCCACCCCCTGCTCCCAGCAGCCCTTAGTCAGAGCAAGAAGCAGCCAGGTAAGCTGCAGAGCCCTCCCTCTAGGCCCCCCAATCCAAAACAGTCCAGTGGCACCTTTAAGACCAAGTTTTATTCAGGTACAAGCTCTCCCTCCTCTGTGAGGACAGATCTGCACGTCGTCCCCCCAATAGCTAGCAACCCAAAACAGTCCAGTGGAGCCTGAGCGGTGGGTGTTGCCTTCTGACACACTTCCGGTGATGTCAGGGGATGTGGCATATGCAAATAAGTTATGCTAATGAGCTCCTGCACCTCTTTTTCTACAAAATGACCCCTGTATTTATTTATTTATTTAAAACATTTATTAGCCTCCTTTTTAACCATGCAGAACTCAAGACAGTTTCCAATGTAAATAAGACAACAATGATAAAAAAAACGAGGAGGAGGAGATTGGATTGATACCCCGCCCTTCGCTCGGAGTCTCAGAGTGGCTTACAAACTCCTTTCTCTTCCCCTCCCCACAACAGACGCCCTGTGAGCAGTGTTCCCTGTAAGCTGTGGAGCCCTGTGAGCAAATATTCTACTTTGTGAGCTACCGGCATTAAAGTTGTGAGTGAGCGATTTGGCTCCTGCATCCATTCGTTTGCTCTGGAGCCCTCCTTCCTGAGCTAAGACAAAAATGTGTGAGCCAGAGGGAATTATTATAATATGTTTTAATGCGTAAATCTGCATCGATTGCAGACATACATGTTGGTATCTGCCCTGAAAGTCTGATGAAATAGTTAAGTAAATAAAAAAGGATAGAGCCCACTAATGCTCCCTCTAAGCTGTGGAGTCTCGTGAGCAAAAATTCTACTTTGTGAGCTCACGGCATGAAAGTTACGAGCAAGTAATATGGCTACTGCATAAATTAGCTTGCTCTGGAGCCCTCCTACCTGAGCCGAGACAAAAAATGTGTGAGGTGGAGGCTAAAAAACTGTGAGCTAGCTCACACTAACTCAGCTTAGAGGGAACAATGGAGCCCACCCTCCAAAGCTGCTTTTTTCTCTGGGGGAACCGATCTGCGTAGTCTGGAGAGCAGTGATAATTCCTGGAGCTCTCCGGGCCCCACCTGGAGGTTCAGCAACAAACACACGGGAAATGCGGCAAAGTTAGACAAACGTAAAGAAACACCGTCTTAGAACAAAACACACTCTACTAACATGCACTCGTGTCTTCATATACTGATTTAAATACAATAGAGATCCTAGTGTAATCTTACAGGGCTCTTTTTGTAGAAAAAGCCCAGCATGAACTCATTAGCACAATAGGCCACACCCAATAGCAAAACTAATTAGCATATTAGGCCAGACCTCTGACCGCACCGCTCATTAGCACATTAGGCCACACCCCCGTGTTACCAGAAGTGTGGTCATCCAGCCACACCCACCTTTTGCTTCTTATTCTGTGTACCGTGTTTGTTGTCCAAACCCAGGGCTTTTCTTGTAGCAGGGACTCCTTTGCATGTTAGGCCACACACCCCTAATGTAGCCAATCCTAATGAGTTTCTGCCATTGGGTGTGGCCTATTATGCTAATGAGTTCCTGCTGGGCGTGGCCAACTCAGGAGCTAGCCGGAACTCTGTTCCTGTGCGTTCCTGCCCCAAAATAGCCCTGCTTATACATATTCATTATGATACAAAAACCTAAAGAACATTATATATCTACTAACAGAAAAGTCCACCGCTACAGAGACCTATTCCGATGCTGTAGACTGTCTTGCGCCTGATAAGGGACTGATGAAGGTTGCAACAGTCGTAAATGATGAGAGATGCAGCGGGCTGTTGTGTTCTCCACAAAAAGCGATTCCGCAAGCATCAAAGCAAGCAACACGCCTCCCAGGCAAAAATTGCGTGTTTCGACAAATTCTTCTTCAGGCAGACATATTTTTCCTGGGTTTTGTATTATAATGAACAAGAAGCGGGGACCCACGATACTTGCAGGGGGGGGAGAGGGGGCTCCACGTGGAGGAGGAGAAGGAGGAAGCAGCTGCAGGTTAGCCTTCTCCCCCGCCCCCCTGCACCGACGGTGAGGCCCGGGCCTGCCAATCCTTCTCCCCCCCAACCCCCCTGGCACCGATGGCGAGGTCCATGCAGGTCCCAGCCACCGGGACCAGCAATCCTTCTCCCCCACCCCACTGCACCAGCAGCGAGGCACGCGCGGCTGCCGCTGGGCCCGCCAATCCTTCTCCCCCATACCAGTGGTGAGCAGTGCGGGCCCGCCGAAACATCTCCCGCTCCTCCCCGGCCACCGGCGACGAGGCCTGAGCGGCTCCCCACCGCCAGGCTCGCCAAGCCTCCACCCTCAACAGCCAGAGCATTCTCTGCGCATGCGCAGGGAACGCTTTTCCTTTTGGGGGATTTAAATACCCCTGTATATATTTTTTAACTTTTTAGATTTTTCTGCACACCTGGGGACTGCTCCAAGTGTGTAGGAAAATCTCTCCGCCCCCCAAGTGTGGATTTAGATATCCGCACGGAGGAGGCAACCTGGCTATTAGATATATAGATATGTATAAGATACCCTCGGGTCTCTATTGTATTTAAATCAATATATGAAGACACAAGTGCAGATCGGCAGAGTGTGTTTTGTTCTAACACGGTGTTTCTTTGCGTTTGCCCACCTGGAGGTTGGCAACCCAACCACAGGAACCAGGACCAGATGGGGATTCAATCGACAACGGCTGAACTCCGCGGGCCAGAGGATCCAGCCGCGACGTCCCAATTTCTTCCCGCTCCTTCATCAGAAGACAAAGCGCAACATTTCCCCTCACAAAAGCTTTTTCACAGACTTGGCAGTGAACAGCCAGCGGTGGTGGCGATGGGGGCAAGGACCGGAAAAGCCCACACTAAGGTGGTTTCGTTTGGCTCGGAAAGGAGAGTTTCAACACGGACTGGGACCGCGTGCCTCCGCCGAGACCAGTGTTCCCTCTAAGCTGAGTGAGTGTGAGCTGGCTCACAGTTTTTTAAGCCTCCGGCTCACGCATTTTTGTCTCCGCTCAGGAAGGAGGGCTCCGGAGCAAGCTAATTTAGGCAGGAGCCAAATCGCTCCCTCACAACTTTCATGCCAGGAGCTCGCAAAGTGGGATTTTTGCTCACAGGACTCCACAGCTTAGAGGGAGCGTTGAGACCCACGCCAAAGGACAAAACACATTCCCCCTGGCCGAGCAGCTGAGAAACCGGGCCTCTCCGGTGGGGCCAACTCACCTTGACACTTCCCCGCATACTTGGCCGCATTTTCCACATCTTGTTCAAATCCGCTTCTGCGGAGAAAGGCAGGGGAAGGGGCGGGAAGGGGGGGGAGAAGAAATTTCATTAAAACCAGCTCGACGGGTTGATTAAACCCCTGCTAATTAATCAATGGGCTGGTGCCCAGGAACCAAGAGTGGGGGAGAGAAGATCTAGCTTTTGGGCCCGGAAAGAAGCGCCGAATCCCTTCCCCGCCCCTCCCGGAGCCAACTCGAGGGAGTCCTGTGAGTGATGGATTGTGTGACGGTGGCGCGGCCGTCATGGGGACCGGCTGAGCTTCAGGCGGCAAATTGCATCCAGTTGTTTGGCGTCTGGCGGGGCGGATGAGGTGGCAGAGAGGGGGAGGGAAAGGATGATAAATCTGGGGAAAGAAAGAAACCCTTTTGTCTCCTGCGAAGGCAGCCAGAGACCACAGGCAGACCCAAGCGCGTTCACTGCACCCCCCAAAGAGCAAACGTTTCTATTTCTCGGGATGGTGAAAGAACGTTTCTGCTCTGGAACCGGCCGCTTTTCCGGGGACCGCCGGGAGGACTGCTGGGATTTGTGCAGGGGAAGGGGAAGACAACGGGAAGGGAGGCCCCACCTTATTTATTTATTTATTTATTGGTTCAATCTGTACCCCGCCCCCCCTGCAAAGCAGGCTCAGGGCAGCTCACATCAGTCGATGCACAAGTTAACACGTAAACACAATTAAAGTCTACATAAAATCATCTAAAACAGGTTAGGTTATACGTTTATAAAGTGCTGGTAACGATCACTTAATTATTCGTGATGGCCCACTTTGAAAAGTATAGGGCTGCGGCGCCTCAAGGGGTTAAGACGCCGAGCTGCCGACCGGAAGGTCGGTAGCTCGGCAGTTCGAGACCCGAGTGCCGCGTGACGAAGAAGAAGAAGAAGAGATGGGATTTATACCCCGCCCTTCACTATCCAAAGGAGTCTCAGAGCGGCTTACAAACTCCTTTCCCTCCCCCTCCCCACAACAGACACCCTGTGAGGTGGGTGGGGCTGAGAGAGCTCTGACAGAAACTGCTCTTTTTCAAGAACAGCTCTGCCAGAACTATGGCTTGCCCAAGGTCATCCAGCAGGTGCAAGTGGAGGAGTGGGGAATCAAACCCGGTTCTCCCAGATTAGAGTCCGCGCACTTAACCACTACACCAAACTGGCTCTCCCGTCTCTGGCCCCAGCTCCTGCCGACCTAGCAGTTCGAAAGCAAGAAATTGCAAGTAGATAAATAGGCACCGCTTCGGTGGGAAGGTGACAGTGTTCCGTGCGCCTCGGCATCTAGTCATGCCAGCCACATGACCACAGAAACGTATTCGGACAGCGCTGGCTCTTAGAGTCGGATTCGACTGGCTTTCGAGCAAGGGAAACCTTTACCTTTGAAAACTATGCCCAGGGATCTACAATCCTTCTGCTTGTGATCTTTCTGAAATAAGGGCGGTGTAGGCTAGGTGTCGAAACCAAGTGGTGGCCAGGGCTCTGTAGTGGTGGCAGCTCCTTAGTTGAAAGCCTGGTGGAAGAGCTCCGTCTTTCAGGCCCTGCGGAACTGTAAAAGGTCCCTCAGGGCCCTGATCTCCTCTGGGAGCTCGTTCCACCAGTATGGAGCCGCCACTGAAAAGGCCCTGGTCCTGGTGGTTGCGAGCCTGGCATCCCTGGGGCCTGGGAGGGGCAATCGATTTTGAGACCCCGACCGTAGTGCTCTCTGGGCTATGTATGGGGAAAGGCGGTCCCTCAGGTATAACCTTGCACCCCAATCCGCAGCTGGGCCACTTACCTGATTTCATTGCTGAATGGGGCACATGTGCCGGTGCTCAGCCAGACGCAATACGGGTCGCGGGAAGCCAGACACTGCCTGCAGGGGACAGGAAAGCAGTTCGTCAGCTTGTATTTATTAACTTCATTTATACCCTGTTTTTCTCCCAATGGGGACCCAAAGGGGCTTACATCCTCTTCCTCTCCTTCATTTTATCCTTGCAACAACCCTGCGAGGTAGGTCGGGCTGGTAGTGTATGACTGGCCCAAAGTAGGAAGAGTGACAGACTCTAATCTGGAGAACTGGGTTTGATTCCCCACTCCTCCACATGCGGCCAGCTGGGTGACCTTGGGTCAGTCACAAGTTCTCTCAGAGCTGTTCTCTCAGGAGCAGTCCTCGAAAGAACTCTCTCAGCCCCACCAACCTTACAGGGTGTCTGTTGCGGGGAGAGGAAGAGGGAATTAGATAAGAATATGGAGCAGACGTCCATCAGTGGCTATTAGCCACAAGGTTATAGAGAGAGCTGCGGTGGCTCAAGTGGTTAAGACGCTGAACTGCAGGCTGGAAGGTCGGTAGTTCGGCAGTTCGAGACCCGAGTGCTGCATGACGGAGTGAGCTCCTGTCTCTGGTTCCAGCTCCTGCCAACCTAGCAGTTCGAAAGCAAGAAATTGCAAGGAGATAAATAGGTACCGCTTCAGTGGGAAGGTAACAGCGTTTCGTGCGCCTTGGCGTTTAGTCATGCCGGTCACATGACCACGGAAACGTCTTCGGACAGCATTGGCTCTTCGGCTTGGAAATGGAGATGAGCACCGCAATCCTAGAGTCAGATTCGACTGGCTTTCGAACAAGGGAAACCTTTACCCTATAGATAGGAACTCTCAGTCTGGGGCAAGTGATTCACTGTCGTCTTGGTGCTTGGGAGGGGGGCAACAGTGGAAGGGCTTCTGGTGTCCTGGCCCCACTGCTGGACCTCCTGATGGCACCTGGTATTTTTGGCCACTGTGTGACACAGAGTGTTGGACCGGATGGGCCATTGGCCTGATCCAACGTTGGCTTCTCTTATGCTCTTATGTTCTAAGGAAGATCTATACACCATGGGCAATGCAGATCTATACAGGGGCAATGGGGCATTACAATACTGACCATTTTATTCTCAATCCCTCTCCGAATCATCCCCAGCACAGAGTTTGCTTTTTTCATCGCCGCAGCACACTGGGCCGACACTTTCGCTGAACTATCCACCACGACCCCGAGATCGTTTTTTCGAAGGCCATGTGCTGCAATGCCCCTCTCCCCCCCTGTCTGTCTCCTGCGGCGTGCCCAAGCATCAGACCCGGGCACAGCAGAATTTGAGCCCGTGTCACGGTCGGATTAGCCAGGGACCTTTGGAACAGAGTTGAAGGGAGGGGAGAGGGTGCTTTAATTGTCCGTTAAAGGAAACGGAAAGCTGGGTGCGGGGCGAGGGACCATGTGGCATTTCGCATTTCCTGGAAACGGTCCGGGCTGTAATTTTCAACACCTGTTCCCTGTGGGGGGGGGGGGGGGAGGAAGCAGGTCAGATGGGGTGAAGCAGACGCAGACAGCCGATTGGCGGTTGCAGGCAACACAGCCCCTTGTATGGGCCTAATTGTAGGACACAGAAAGCTACCTTGGCGACCACTCCGCGTGCTAAATCCCCCGACGCATAAAAATACACACAGCTTAAATGTGTGTGTGTGCGCGCACACAGACACCCCCACCCTACCCTCACGAGGCACAAACATCGAACTGGTTCGTCGCTCGCAAATCAAATGTGAAAAAGGGAATTGAAAACAAATCAGCCAGTATCATCATGCCCCTGTATAAATCAATGGTGCGACCTCATTTGGAGGACTGTGTACAGTTCTGGTCACCCACACCTCAAAAAGGATATTATAGCCTTGGGAAAAGTGCAGAAAAGGGCAACTTGAATGATAAAAGGGTTGGAACACTTTGCCTATGAGGAAAGGTTAAAAACGCTTAGGGCTCTTTAGCTTGGAGAAACGACGGCTGAGGGGTGACCTGATCGAGGTTTATAAGATTATGCGTGGGATAGAGCAGGTCGAGAAGGAAGTCCTTTTCTCCCTTTCTCACAATACAAGAACTCATGAGCACTCAATGAAATTGCTGAGCAGTCGGGTTAGAACAGATAAAAGGAAGTCCTTCTTCACCCAAAGAGTGATTAATGCATGGAATTCACTGCCACAGGAGGTGGCGGCGGCTACAAGCATGGACGGCTTCAGGTGGGAATTAGATGAGCATATGGAGCAGAGGTCCATCAGTGGCTCTTAGCCACAAGGTACAAGTAGGGGCTCTGGGGCAAGGGATGCTCTGTCTTCTTGGTGCTTGGGGGGGCAAGAGTGGGAGAGCTTCTAGTGTCCTGGCCCCACTGGTGGACCTCCTGAGGGCCCCTGGTATTTTTGGCCACTGTGTGACAGACAGAGTGTTGGACTGGATGGGCCACTGGCCTGATCCAACATTAGCTTCTCTTATGTTCTTATGTTCTTAACCCCATAGCTGGGCCTGTGTGCATCTAAGCGCAGGATTTATTTATTTATTTATTTTGATTTATATCCTGCCTTTCCAACAGCCCTCGGATGATCTGAGAAACCCAGTGCCTTCCGCAAGCGGGTGCCTCATTGATGCGGGTTGCAGGATTCACATTCTTTTGGCACAAAAATCCCCCCCCCCCCCCAAGTACAGCCACCAACCTCCAGGTGGTGAAAAATAAGTCAACGGGGGAACACAGTGCGGCAGACACCAAGGAAACAAAACACACTGTCAACAAGCCAGTTCTAACCACTGTGCCGAAATAAAGACGTACGCAAGCTTATTTGTCTGATAATTAAAGTTAAATAAAATATTAATTTTGTAATATTTCACATGGTATACATATGTGTTTAAAATTTAGTTCAGAAGACATGTCCTAAGATTCAAAATTTTTGGAAAGATATTCACACTATCACGGTACAAATAATTAACAGACCAATTCCATTTGTCCCCGAGATATTCTTATTAAACATAATGCCTGACAACTTGGAAAAGACAGATGAACATCTGATTAGCCATTTGTTTATGGCAGCAAGGTTGCTGTTGGCAAATACTGGAAGCAGGAAGTTATACCACTATTGAAGAACTTTATAGCTAAACTTATAGAAATAGCGGAACTAGATAATCTGACAATGAGGATACATGGGAGGGAGGAGGATACTTTCAAGAATATTTGGACAAAATTTTACGAATGGTTAGAAAAACTATAAAAGCTTAGATGTGTTTAATAGTTGAAATAGTGTATGCTGCCCGAGAGCAGATATCAAATGTATCATAAATGGAATCTCCATGTTTTATGTTGGTGGATATGTTAATAAAAAAGA